ACGCGCCCTTTTTCATCCACTTCCCCTTGTTGGGGGAGGGCCCAGCAGGGGGGAGACGGGGGGAATCAGCCCACCCCACCCACCACCGGGGGGGGGGGGGGGGGGGGGCGGCCGAACTGTTGCATGGCGCAGGCACGCATGCCTGGGGGGCACCCCAGCCAGCGCAGGCAGAGGCTGTGCATGGGCGCCCCGACCAGCCAGCCTCGCCAGCCAGGGGCGCACCTGGATGTAATACTTGTTGTATGTGCGCTGCACATTGCGCAGCCTGTTGACGGCGGCGGCGCTCAGGTCGGGCTCGTCCTTCACCTCCCAGCTAAAGCCCGGCACGCTGCGCCACGGCTCCTGGCCTGCGCAGGCAGCGAAGGCGGCAGCAGGAGCGGCAGCGGGGCGGACGCCTGGGGCAGGAGGACAAGGCAGCAACTCCCTGCCCTTCACACAGGCAAGCGCAGCTGGCGCTGGCGTGGAGTGTGCAATGCTGGGGTGTCCACACCCACCCCACCCCACCCACCTGGCTCATACACATACTCCTGCCCCAGCTTGGGCACCGGCAGCTCAATCTTGGGCCCCGCCGGCTTCCTCCGCCGCTTCGGGGCGCCCTCCCCGGTGCCGCCAGCGCCCTCCTTGGCGGCAGCCGCCGGCTTGCGCTTCTTGCCTGCGGCCTTGCGCTCGCCACCCTGCCCCTCGCTGTCCTTCCCCTTGCTGCGCTTCTTCGGCTGAGAGCTCGCATGCAGCGCTTTCTTGCCGGCCTGCTTATCCTTTGCCTTCTTAGCCGCCGCCAACTCTTCCTCCTCCGTCCGTGGCCGAGGCGGCCTGCCCACTGGCTCCTTGGCTGCTGTGGGCTTCTTGGATGCTGCCGCAGCCTGTTTGCCAGCGGCTTTTGCCTTGTGCTGCTGCTTGGCGGTCTGCTCTTTGTGCTGCTGCATGTCAGGCACCGCCGCCGGTGCAGCCAGCTGCTGCGAGCGCGACGCCGGCGAAGGAGCGGCTGCGCTGGAGCCGCGACTGCCCTGTTTGCCGCCCGTGCCAGCACACACTGCTGCTGGGGCTGCTGTAGGGGAGGCGGCGGCGGCGCGCTGCAGCAGGGGCAGCAGATCCTTCCACCAGACATCCTCGCTGTCCCCATCCTCGTACACTACACGGTACCTGCGAATACAGCGGTACAGTCGATAGATTGGCAGAGCAAACCTGAGTATGCTGGTAGTGCAGGGCTGGCTGGGCTGAGGCGGCAGGGCTGCAGGTGATGCGCTGCATTTCAAAGCACCACCCCATAGCTTCAAACCCTGGGTTGCCGCCACGGCGCTCACCATTTGCGCTTGGCGTCGAACGACTTGACGGTTCCCTTGAAGGGCCGCACTTTCTTGGTCTCCTCGTCCCTAAAGTCCTTGATCACTAACCGGCCCTCGATCTCTTGGAACGGCGGCATGGTGTCGACTGTCCAGCGAAGCGAGTCCGCCGCCATGGCGAGGGCGCCGCCGCCCTGAGTAGCTGCCGGCTTGCCGGCCTGGACTCCGGGGTTGATCAGATCATCGATCAGATCATCGAGGAGGGCTGCAAATGAGCACGCACAGCAGCCCAGGCGTGGTCATCGATGGAGAGATGTCGGAGCTGCTCAAACTTGGTGCGCACTGCGCATCCGATCCCAGCTCACCCTGCCTCTTGCTTCGGCCAGGGGAGGAGAGAATGGAGGTCATGGGGGTGACATTGCTGGGTTGGAGCGAGTCCCTCTGCCCTCAGGTTCGATTCCAGATGCAATGCGGTGGCTGCCAGAAGCGATCCGAGGACAGCAAGGCAAGGGCGGAGCTGCCTAGTTCAAATTGTGCCATGTCAGCAGTCGATCCGCCAGGGCCTCCACAGGCCCGCCTCCGCTGCCATCTCCAATCGCACCGGCCCCGGGGCACCGCCACGCGCCTTGTCAAATTGGGCAGACCCTTGCTGGGGAGCCGATCAAGTGATGAAGCTATCCTCAAAGGCCGCGCCAGCCTGCCTGGCAGGGCCACTTGTGCCCCTGACATTGAGGGGACCCCGTCCCAGCCGCAGCGGGCTGCGCCAGCTGCGTTGCCGGCCCGCTGGCAGCACAAGGGCGGGCAGGGTTCAACCCACTGCAGAGGCCGTGCTCCAGCCCGACAACAGGTAAAGGCGGCATGCCGATCCATGACAGGCAGCCTGGCAGCCGCCGTGGGCCGGGCGGCGGGTGGGGACGGGATGGGCAGCGCTGGGTGCCCCGCCACCTGCCCCGCCCACGGCTGCTCTGTGTGTGGCCACCATTTGCAGGCAGGAGCAGGGGCGTGAGAGAACGGGCACGCTGAGCCTCCCGTTGGACTACTACCGCATGCTGGGAGTGTCGGGAGTGTGCAGCCGCGACAGCTTGGCTCGCGCGCTGGAGAAGTGAGCGCCCTGCTGCCGCCTTCCCGCCATAAAACACGTGCCCCACCAGCTCCTGCTGCTGTGTTGTCCATGCTGCCACCTGCTGCATTGGCATCCACGCCTCATGCTCTGCGCAAACAACTGTGCCTGCCCGCCTGCGCAGGGCCCTGACCAACCCGCGTGGCGTCGGCTACAGCCAGCAGTGCCTGCTGGCGCGCGGCTCGGCGCTCAAGCGGGCCGTGGAGGCGCTGCTGGATCCCCAGGTGAGGCGCAAGGGCAGGCTGCCACTTGGCGATAATGAAAACATGACAGGCGGGCTGCCACATGCAGCCTGCTTGGTGTTCGATTAGCTGAGGTCGTGCTGGACGGCCTGTGACCTCTTCTGTGCCCTCTTCTACGCCGGGCTTGGCGCAGGCCCGGCGTGCATACGATGACGCGCTGCGCACGGGGCAGATCACAGAGGATGTGCCCGACGAGTTTGTGCCTGGTGGGTGGTGTGGGGAGAGGGAGGGGCGGGCGGCATGTGCATGTGTTCACTACGGCGCGACAGTGCTTGGCACGCACCGCATCCGCATGGCATTCTCTGCTTCCTGTGGGCTCGATTGTCTGCCTGATGGCCCCCTCCTGCAGGCGTGCTGGCACTGCTGGTGGAGGCGGGCGAGGCTCAGACGGTGGTGGCGGCAGGCGAGGAGTGGCTGAGCACGCACCGCCGCGACAGCCGCGTGCGCGACGTGGCGCTCTCCACCGCTCTGGCGCACCGTGCGGTGGCAGAGGCGTGCGTGAAGAAGCAGGGCGACGCTGCCAGCGCGGCGGGCATGCTGCGGGTGGCCGGAGAGCTGCTGCGGCGCCACCGCGCCGCGCCCGGGCTGCAGGCCGAGGTGGCATCGGCGCTGGCTGAGCTGCAGCCGTCGCTGGCCTGCCAGCTGGTGGCGCTGCCGCTGGAGCAGTTCCGCGAGCGGGAGCGGGGCGTGCAGGTGGGGAGCTGTGTGTGTGTGTGTATGTGTGTGTGTGGCCTGATTTTGGTTGGCCTGCTCGACTGCCTGGCATCCCACGCGGCTGATGCGCCATCACCCGCCCGGCCCAACTCTTCCGTGCGCACCACACGCGCCACTCAACCACCTGCTACCCTGGCGTCTCGCCTGCCCCACCCAGGTGGCCATCGCGGTGCTCACTGACACGTCTGGCGCCAAGCGCGGCATGGGCAAGCAGCAGTTCCTGGACCGCCTGTCGGAGCACCTGACAGCCGAGGAGCAGGTGGCGGTGTTTGAGGCGGCTGGGACGCGCTATGCGGAGCTCCCTTCAGAGCTGTATGACGTCGCCCTGGCCTACATTGCCGGAGCCGCGGCCACCGGCCGCGCCGCGCAGCTGGACAGGGCGCTCGCGGCGCTGGAGGCGGCGGCGGCCGCGGTGCCGCCGGGCGCCACCGGCCAGGTGCGAGAGGGAGGAGTCAAGGCGCCGTGCTGCCGTGGGCACGGAGGGCGGCCTGCCTTGCTGTTTGTTCTGCGACCGTGACGCCTGCCTCCTTTGATCCTTGTGCAATGCACAACCCGCCAGCCTCCCCTGCCGCCCGCCCCGCCCCGCCCCGCAGTCCAGCGACAGCGGCGTGCGCCAGCTGGCGGAGCGGCGCGCCATCGACGAGCGCCACCGCCGCCAGGTGGCCTACGCCGTGTGCCAGCTGCTGCTGGGCGAGACGGCGGCGGCCGCCGACACGCTGGGCCTGGCCCCGGGCAGCACCGTCAAGTGCGAGCGCTCCATGCTGGCGTTCATCAAGGTGGGCGGGTGGCGGCCTTGGGATGGGGCATGTGACGTAGAATGTATGAGTATGTGAGAGGTGGTGGGGCGCGGTGTATGTGTATGTGTGGGTGGGGGGCGGGGGCTCCCCAGGACTCGTCCTGCTGCACCAGGCGCTCATCCGACAATCGCCGACAGCCCTTGCCTGGCCCGCGCGCCCTCCTCCCCTGCCTCACGCCTCCTCCTCCCTGCCTCCCACCCACCCTTGCAGGCCAACTGCCCCGACCGCGACGACCCGCTGCCCGGCATGTGTGTGCTGGCGCAGCGCTGGGTGGCTGATGTGGCGCTGGGCTCCTTCCGCGGCACCCAGGGCACGCCCTTCTCCCTGCAGGCCTGGTTCGAGCTGGAGCCTGTCAGGTGGGTGTGCGGGAGGGTGTGTGGGAGGGGCAGGGTGGAGGGGCCAGCGTGACTGGTGGGCTTGCGTTGCGACGAACTGAGCAGGCGGTGGCGGCGGCAAGTCTTCAGTGCAGGGCGCTTACAGGTTTGGTGCTGCTGCTGTGCCGCACTTGCCATACCCAGCGTCCTGCCCGCCTGCGTGCCCCCCTCTGCCTGCCTGCCATGCAGGCGCTACCTGTCTCGCCGCGAGCACGGCATCTCCGCCAGCCACCCGCTGCTGGCTGTTGCGCAGCGCGCGGGCGGTGTGCTGTCTGCGCCGCTCGTGGGCGGCATGGCTGGCGTGCTGGCGTTCATGGGGCTGCTGGTCAACCCGCGGCAGCTGGGGCAGGAGGCTGAGGAGGAGGAGGGGAGCTATGATGATGAGGAGGAGCTTGGCATGGATGGCCCTGTGGCGGCTGGCGGCATGCCTGGCTCATCGGGGCCGCAAGCTGCTGCGGCAGTGCAGGAGGCGCCGCCCCAGACCCTGCGGGACCAGGCGGCGGCAGGCATGGGCCGCCGGGCCACGGCCGCGCCGCCGGCTGCGCCGCCGCCGCGCGTGCCGGCGGGCCGGTCGCCAGCTGAGGTGGCGGCGGCGGCCGCTGCGCGCGACATGAGCCAGGTGGACATGCGGGCGAGCCGCAGCGCGCGGCCGGGCGCCAGCCCCGTGCCGGCGCGCGAGCTGCAGCCGCGGCACACGGCGCGGCCAGAGCTGACGGCGACGGCCAACTCCATTCCGGCGCCGCCCGCACCCGTGGAGCTGCCGCCACCGGTTTCGCGGGATGTGGAGGGCGAGGATTTCGATGCCAACATCGCGTTTGCCATGCAGGTGCTGCCGCCGCCGCTGCTGCTGCTGCCGCTGCCGCTGCTGGCAAGCACGCCTACCCTGCTGCCGTGATTTTGCTGCTGCTGCTCTGGTGCTCACCGCGGGGCCATCCACTCTGGTTGCTCTCCCTCCCCTGCCTCCACCCACCGTGCCTGCCACACGTCCCGCTCCGCCTGCAGCCCGTGCAGCAGCTGACGCCGCTGGACGGCGAGGAGCGGATGTGGGACACCGTGGAGCAGCGCAACGTGCGCTGGGGCCGCCTGGTGGCAACCGTGGCGCTGCTGGCCGGCGGCGGCTTCCTGCTGGGCCGCGCCGCGCTGCTGCGCCAGCAGCAGGGCGCAGGCCTCAGCCCCGCGGCCGCGCCGCCCGCCGCGGTGGCTGCGCGCGCGGCTGCGCCGGTGGTGCAGCTGAGCCGGTCGGAGGCGGCCTCGGTGATTGGGCGGTGGCAGGGCATCAAGGCGGCCGCACTGGGGCCGGAGCACGACATCGGCGGGCTGGGCGCCATCCTGCGCGGCGATGTGCTGGGGCAGTGGCAGGAGCGGGCGCAGCAGATCCAGAAGAAGGGCTGGTGGGTGGCAGCGGGGCGCTGGCGTGCTGCTCTGCCGCCTTTGGTCGGCCGCCTGCTCTGCCGGCGCCACCAGCCCGGCCCCTTCCGTGCCCATGTCGGCCCCGCCTGCACCCCCCGGCTCTCTTCTGCATCGCCTGGCACCTGGCGCCGACGCCTGCTGACCCAGCACTGCTGACCTCCCAGCACTGGCCTGCCCCGCCAACCTGGTGCAGGCACTACCTGCACACGATGGAGGCCAGCCAGATCAACGGCGTGGAGGTGGGCGCGGACGGTGTGGCCAGCGTCAGCGCAACCTTCCGCGAGGCCGTGCAGGCGCACCGCGGCGCCAACGAGCCCATGCAGGCCTTCAGGTGACGCCGGGCGGCGCGTGGGCACACCCGCTGCTGGCAGGGCTGCTTGCCTGGCGTCCCTGGCTGCTGGCAGGGTTGCTCGCCTGGGCCTGTGCGGGAGCGTATCGCCCGAAGCGCAGGCATCCCCGCTGCCCGCTGCTCGAGGCACTCGTCCCTGACATGCGTTCTGTGTGCCCCTCCCCGGCCTGCCTGCAGGAGCGAGTACAGCGTGGATTACGAGCTGATGCACGAGGGCGGCAGCTGGGTCATCACCGGCGCTGTTGTGCGCTACTGAGCTGCGCTGCGCCGCCAGGGCTCGCGCTGAACCCGTTACACCCGACCGACGTCACAAAAACAAAACAGGACTGTGATTTGGGAGTCTGGACTTTGTTGCCATTGCATCCGTTGCATTCCTTCTTGAGTCGGCGCAGCACGTGTACGTACTTAGCTGCGGGCATACCGCCCCGCTCCTGCTGCCCGGCGTGTTACCAACCCTGCCCTTTGCATCTGTCTTTCCAAGCCTCGCCCGTTGATTATTGCTGACTAGGCATGGCGTGCATCTCACCTGCTCGAGCATTGCTGTCAAATCTGTAACTCAGAACCAGGCTTGATTCCCGCTAGCGGCGCCTGCCACACCGGTCCCCTCATATCACGGCCGCCAGCCGCAGCGCCGTGGCCATCATCTGCGCCGCGGCGGCGAGCAGCCCGTGCTGCAGCAGGCACCGCACACGCGCCTCCTGCAAGCGCAGCAGCAGCAGGCCCAGAAGAAGCAGGCTCATTGCGGGTGGCAGCGACCGCAGCCATGCGGCAGCCAGCGCCAGCCACAACCGCGAATGTTTGCAGAGTGCATCTGAGCCACCTCCTCACCCGGGTGGCTTGCTGTGCTTCCGGCAGAGTGTCCAGCAGCGCGACGAAGGACGCTGCCAGCTCAGCGGTCAGCCCGGCGGCGGCGGCACCGTCCTGATCCTGGCCGCTGCCGCAGCCAGGATTAGGTCGAGAATGTCGGCAGGCTGCCCCGCCTGGCCAGGCCCCTGTGCCGCCGTGGCGACCGAGGGCGCGGCAGAAGGCGGGACCGCGGCGCGGCTGCTGCTGACGCCCCCGGGGTGCTGCGCTGGCGCCGGGGCCTGCTGGCGCTGGCGCTTGGCAGGGGGCGGCTGGGGCGCTGCCGCGGCTGCGGCGGGGCTCTTGCCCCTGCTCTTGGCCTGCTGCTGTTCCACGCCTGCCGCCCCTTCCTCTGCGCTCTCAGAGTCCTCTGGCATCCCAGCCATCACACCAGCCCTCCCCTCCTGCTGAGCCTGCTGCCCCCCCCTCGCCTGCATGCCCTTCCTCCTCCATATCCTCTGCCTCCTGCTGCTGGCGTGGCGCCGCCACCACGGGCTTAGCGGCACCCAGCTGTGGGGCCCTTGCCGCCAGTGCCTGCAGCAGGAGCGGCAGCGTCGAAAGAGAGGCTTAGCGAGACGTGGAAGCCTGCTGGCAAGGAGGGGTAGGAGCAGGGTGATGCAGGCAGCAAATGTGGCGAGGCTGCCAAGCCGTGGACAATGCTCCTCCTTCAGTCACCGAAGACGCTGTGCACCTCGCTGTGGCGGCAGTCCTTCTCGAGCTGGGGATTGATGCAGGTGTGGCAGTGGCCGCAGCGCACTCTCTCCTCAGGGTAGCCGCCTCCGGTGGCAGCAGCAGCAGCAGCAGCAGCAGCAGCAGCAGCAGGCGCCGCCAATGCCGCGGTCGCCGGAGCCGGCTGCTCCTGCTGCTGAGCTGCTGCCGTGTTCTTGCTGCGCGCCACCACCTCGCCAGCGGGTGCTGCTGCCGCCAGCGCTCCTGCCGCCGGGCCCAGCTGGCACTGCCCAGCCGCCTCCCCGGCCTCCTCGCCGCCCCCTGCCTTCTTGCGCAGGCTCTCCGCACGGGCAGCAGCCCACACTGTGGCCAGCTCAGCTCGGAAGCGGGCGCCTGATTTTGTAGTCATTGCGGATTGGTAGACAGGGCTGGCGTAGCCAATGCTGCCGGCGCTCGCCCACGCCGGCCGCGGGTCGGCAGCAGCCGCAGCCCGTCCTGCCTGCTGCACCTCAAACGGCAGGTCTCCCCAGTTCTTGGGCGGTCCGTCAGGGTCGAGGCCTGCCTTGACAGCAGCCGGCAGCCCCCAGATGGCGGCAGTGACCACCGGGAGGAGAAGTTCGTAGCGGCTTCTGGCTGCCTTGCGAGGGTGCGGTTCTGCTCCGTGCTTCTTGCCCTGCGCAGCGGGGCCCGCAGCAGCAGCCTGCTGCATCTCTGAATCTGCATGCTGCCCCTCCTCCCCGCTCTGCTGCTCCTTCTCCACACGGGGCGATTTGCAGCCTTTCCCGCGCTGCCCTGCTTGCTTGCTGCCAGAAGCGTGGTGGCGCCCAGCAGCCGTAGCCACCAGAGCATCAGCAGCGGTTGCAGATGCTGGCAGCGGCAGAGGCACAGGTGGAGGGCCTGGGATGAGGCCTGCACACGCATGCACACAGGGGCATCAGAACTGAGGGCAAAGCCGGCACACTGCGCGCTGGCACTTTGAAGGAGGCCGATCACAGCAGCGCACCAGGGGGCCACATGCCTGCACAGCCCTGCTGGCCGCCACCGAGCGCTGTCGCAGCTGCCTTGTTCTGATGCATCCATGCCAGCTGCAGCTGCCATGGCAGAAGGGGCATCTGATGCAGCCCGGTGCCTGCCGCTGCAGCAGCTGCTGCTGCAGTTGGCGAGGGGGCGCCCCATGCAGCTGCGCCGAGCCTGGTGCCCTGCGCTGCAGCTGCTGCCTCGGCGAGCGCCGCTGCGGGGGCCACCACAGCTGCTTCTGCCGCCGTGCCGGCTTCAGGGGTGAGGAGGCACATGGCGGATGGCTTGAGAGCGTACCCCTTATGCAGCCCCTGCCACTCTGCATGCTCAATGACCATTTCCAGCAGCCGTGACCTGGGCACGTTGCTCCCCGGGTGCGCCGCAAGAAAGGCATCTGCGATCTGCCAGCCAGAAGACCATCCAAGGATGGCGGGCCAGGCAGAGGGACACAGGCAGGGCGGGGTCAGAACATGGCGGTGCTCTCCTAGCCGCCTGGCAATTGGATCAGGGCGCATGGGCATGCTGGCAGGTTGCATGCAGGCAGGAGCCGGACAAGCACCTAGTCAGCCGCTTCACCTTTTCTTTGCCGTTGCCTGGCAGCGCCTGCACCATGCGAAGCAGGGACCGCAGGTGATCCCCACTTAGCGGCAGGCCCGAGGATGCAGAGTGTGGCTCCGCCCTGGCAGCTGCGTTGTCGGCGGGTCCTGCATCCGCCGAGGCTCCCAGGGCGCCTGAATCTGCAGCAGCCTGTGCTGATGCCTTCCCCAGCGGCGGCGGGGCTGCTATGCTCGCACCAACAGGGCTTGGGGCAGGGTCAGGAACAGAGGGGGCTGCAGGCGCTGTCCCTGCAGCTGGGCGGTTGTCGGGGGTTGGGACCAACTCTGGCGGTGGAGGAGCAACTGCTGCCACTGGCGTGCCTGCCCCATGGGCCGCCGCCGGCTGCTGCTGCCACGCCAGTGGCGGCCAACTGAAAACTGGCCACTGATTGCAGTCGGCGGTGGGAGCAGCAGGGGAGGGGGCCCGCCCGCGCCCCTGCAGCCGGGGGTCCCTGCTGCTGAGTCGAGGCACTGGCAGCTGCGGCGGGGGACGCTCGGCATTGCTGCTCCATCCGCCCACTGCTGGGTTGGTGGGCATGGATGGCTCGTTTGTGGTGAGGCCTGCGCGGTGAGGGCACCAAAGCCAGCGACAGGTTGACAGGCTGGCGAGCTCGGCAGCGCTAAGGGCAGCACCACGGGGGCCCGGCACCTCACCCGCTGGCTGAACAGCCTTGGAATCCTCCTGCTCGACCTTGGCAGCCACGACAGCGCTCGCCGCGGCTTCCTCGCCGCCGCCGGCGGAGCGCCTGCGGAGGCGGCGTGTGGGGCAGCAGGCGACGCTCTGCTTCCTCTGCCAAGTGCCCCAGGAACCTACTTTAGGTGCATCAATGTGCGTCTGGAGGGTCGGTGGAGGCCTCCTCGTGGGGAAACGATCCTATTGAGGGCTTGCCTCAGCGTCGCCTGCCCGCTCCTGCTCACCTCCCACCAGTGTCCATGGGTCTGGCCAAGTGGTAGCCTGCTCGACAGAGGGCTCTAGGGTGTATCAGGCGACCATGCACCGCTCCCTGCTGCTGCGCTAGGCTCTAGGGGGTGATGGCCCCTCAGGTAGCAATCTTTTGCATTCCAGCCCCACTCGACCACACACTAGACCCAAGGGCTGCTGGAAGGTCCGGGAGGAAAGAATCTGCGTGAGAATAGCTGCATACTGTTGTGGGTGCAGGCTTGTCAGCAGCCACAACGTTCGGCAGCGTTACAGGAATGCCGAAGCAAAGGGATGGTACAGAACGACAATGACACCAGGGCGCCGCTCGCCGGCGCATGGTCTTACTGCCGAGGCCGCTTCATGCCGCCACCCCTGCCGCCGCTCCTGCCACCGCTGCTCCTGCCGCCGCCTCTTCCGCCACCCCTGCCGCCACTGCTCCTGCCCCCACCCCTGCCACCGCTGCTCCTGCCGCCGCCCCTTCCGCCAGCGCTCCTGCCGCCGGGGCTCCTGCCGCCGGGGCTCCTGCCGCCGCTCCTTCCCGCATCGCTCCTGCCGCCGCTCCTGCCGCCCCTACCCCTGCCTCCGCCGCTCCTGCCGCCCTCGCCCCAGCCGCCGCCGGCGGCGCCGTCTGGGGCGTACCGCGGCGTGAAGGAGAGCTCCTTGCTGCCGCCGCTGCGCGCGACGGTGTACCCCGTGCCTGCCGCCGCCGCCGCGCGCTGGCCCAGAGGCTGCGCCTTCTCCTCGGCAAACGACTTGCGCTGCATGAAGGCGGCCGCTGCCGCATCGTCCTTGGCGGCATACATACGAGGCTCGCGGCCGCCGCGGGCGGCCGCCAGGCCGGCAGCCCCCGCAGGCGCGCCCTCGGATGCCCGCAGGCGCTTGTCGCGGTGCGTGGCGGCGCGCTGCTGCCGCCGCCGCTGCACGTCCTCGTCGTCGGAATCATCAGAGTAGTCGTCTGCTGAGCCTGCTGCCAGCCTGGCGCCGTCTTCGTCCTCGCTGGCGCCACCCTGGCGTCCCTCCTCGTCAGACCCATCTCCGCCCTCCAGAGTGTCGAAGTGCTCGGCCAGCAGCCGCCGCTCCTTGGCTGGGTCTGAAAAGGCGGCATTACGCGGGGTGAGGCGCGGGCGTCAGCCTTGGGCGCTGGCGCCGACGACGCGCCCGCATGCCCGCCAGCCCCCATCCAACGACCTCCACAAGCGTTGCGGTGCCGCGGCTTCCACCCGCGCGCCCCGGACCCCACAACCACAAGCCCGCCCCGCCCCCGCCCCGCGCCCACCTGCGTTGGGGTGCAGCAGCTTCCACTCCGCGCTTTCCTCGTCGATGGCAAACTCTGGGTCCTGGAACATGTCCCGGAACCGATCGTCCTCCAGCAGGCTGGGCAGCGCGCCGCCCTTGCCGCCCTTCTTCTTTTTCCGCTCCCCGTCCTCGCCCAGCGGCTCCAGCCCGGCCTGCTCAGCCAGGATGCGGGCCGCCGCCTGCGCGTTGACCTGCGGCAGGGGCGCATGGATGGGTGTGCTTGGGCGTGCTTGGTGGGACTTGCAGGTCATGTGGGTGGCAGAGGAGGCCATCATGGTGAGCCAGCCAGTGGGCGCATCACCCGAAGCAGCTGCACCAGCTTCCCGCCGCCACCACCACCTCTACCCCACCACCGCCACTACCACCAGCAGGCAAGCGCA